ACAAAAAAATCTTAAAAATCTTTAAAAAGTTTTTTTTAATATGTTTATCCTTCATTAACTGTTTTCTCACATGTTACAATTAATGGCAGATTGGTCACTTTTTCCAATTTGATATGATGAGAGCATTTTTTTTTTCCTCCCCCCCCCCCCCCCCCCGGTTGCTTTGGTTGACTTGGGTTTCCTCATCTTGGTCATGGAATATAAATGGAGATTCAGTGTTGCAGTCAGATTTTTAGTCACATGATCTCTCTGTGTTAACTTCACCTATCATTTGAAGGCTATGTCAGATTAAACTAGAAGGAATCTTTCCATTCAACGGCCATCATTAAAAGACACGGGGATCACATATAGTATTTTATTCAAATCATAGTGACTTGTAATTGTATCTCATTTTGTCTTCCATTTCCTAAAAGCTTCAAAATGTTACAGATTTTATATTAATGTAAATCAGGCACATACAATATTATTAAAACTTGAAATGTTGTAAAGAAAATTCAGAGTAATTAGAAATCTAGTTGAGTAGGAAGAGTTGGTGCTTGATATTTGCAGGGTGATTTTGAAGAAGATCTGCAAAAATGATGTATCAATGTTATGATCTCTGTTTAAATTTACAGATTATTGAGCCCAAGGGAAATTTCTGTGTTCCAAGCTGCATAGGAGGCATTACTTATGATGAAGGTGGTTCTAACCTTTCTTTTGAATATCCCCTTGATGATGTGAATATTATTGATTTGCAAGGAATACGCAGTTTCATCCTGCAAACTCTTGAGTTTCTGTTTCAGTTGAAGAAGTGGGAATCATTAGTATATATAGCTATGCAATTTAACACAATTACACAGTAAGTAACATAAACAGTCTTTGGGAAAGGAAGGGTTTTTTATTTGAGATATTAACAATGTGTTATTTGAAAATGTGTCTGACTTTTTCTAGTGAGAGATATACAGAGCAAGTAACTCCTGTGTTGGTGTTTGCCCAGAGACAACTGCATGAAAAAAAACAACTCCATGACTCAGATAATCCACAGCCTTGTTTAGAAGAACTTAACACTAGTATTGGAGATAAGGTGAAGTGTTTTAGATGATAAAGAAACCAAAAACTTGCAATTGGAATTTGGGTCAAAAATTTAAAAATATATAAGAATATAGTCTTCAGTTATGTGTTAGACTGCCTGAAAAAGGTTTATGAATGGGCAAATTAGAGTTCCCCCCAACTTCACAAAAATGATATCTAATTTAAAGGCTTTTTCCTGGATCAAATGGGTAGGTTCCAAATCTCATTTTGCCTTTCTAGGAAGAAGAACCATCCTGTTTCTCAGACTAACTTTGTCTAGTGAGTAGAGGGGGCAGGGTTAATAGGAACTCCAACTTCTTTCTCTGTCCTTTTTAATTATTTAATAAAACTTCTTTTGTTCCCCTCACCTCAAATGTCTTCTAAGAACAGAATTAGCTAACAGGTATCTGTTTTAATGTTTTTCTCCATTGGGAAAGGCAGTACTATCCTCCATATCACCCTGTGGGGATAGAATGCTCTGGTGCTAAGCAACAAGATTACTCCTTTGGGACCATGCATATCACCATGATTTCCAGGTAGTAGGTTAGATATAGTGGAGAGAGATGACACAATAGGAGCATTACAGTGATAGGATTGCCTTGTGAGTTCTGATTAGTCTGGGAGGTTCAGATCAGATCACTATGTATGAAAGTTTGTAAGACTAAATTCTGAGAAGCCTGGTCCTAAGGGATTATTTGGGTGTCTTGTTAATAAGATGTCCTATTTTTTATTTAGTTTTTATTGTGAAGATAATCCATTTTAGATAATGAACATTGGCTTTCATTATTTCTTTGCTTTTTGAAAATGTTTGTGAATCATAGTGAGGGATTTTCAATGTTTTGAAATGTCTCATTTTAAGTGTTTAAGTAGACTAACCTAGTCTATTTGGTCACCTTAATTTGAAAATGCTCTTAACTGTCAAAATACTCTCTTAGGTATGCTGCAGAGACTTTGTTGCAAAAAACATGTATGCTGTTACAAAATGGAAAAGAACAACTGATGAACATTTTGATTATTCAGGTCTGAAGATATGCAAGTTATATTTTTCTTCAAAATTTCAGAGTTCATGTTCTTTTCAGTTATTAAAAGTTTGTGTTCTTTTGGATTATTAAGATGATGTTTTTAATGTTATGGATAAATAATTTTGCTTCAATCATATTTGTCTCAGAGATTTGGTGTATCAAATAAAATTTATTTATATATTATTTTACACTTATAAGATACCTATAAAAACCGATTATGTAGGTGTTTTACATTTATAGCTGTTGAGATAATGCTAATTAATCAGGCATTTATCTATCTAAAAACTGATTCAGTCAAGGTGATTCTAGATTGTATACAAAAGTAACAGCTTCAGCCAATTAAACAGGGACAGTAATATACATTAAAGGAAATACAATATATAATTACACTTTAAAAAGCACAATTAATAAAAATTCCTACACTCAAGTCTTTCAATACAGTGAGGTTTTTATAAGCTTCTGGAAGGCCATGAGAGTGGAAGCTACCCTTGCCCTAACAGGCAAATTATTCAGTTGAAGAGAGAGAAAAGGCAAGACTGAAATGGAAGAAGAGAATAGAAGTGCCATGGAGGTAGAGAATGTTGACTCATTTTAGCTGACTGTTTCCCAAATGCTGCTGATTGCCCATTGTATGTGATTGGAACATTGCTTGCTGCTGACTTAACTGAGGCAGTTTCAGGTATCATATAAGGAAGCCAGCACCCCAGAGCTCACTGAATTAGCTAAAAGAGCAAATGAGTTTGGTGGGGGGGGAATGTTTGTTTTTATACATCAGAAGAATGTGTAGATGGAGGGAACTGTCTCTCCATCAATTAAAGATAACTTTGATCTTTTGGTAGACATTGGGAATCCTGGGGACATCTTGTCTAACAATTGGGCACATGCTGCGAACAGTTGTCCTTAAAAACAGAATGAATTATCCATCAATTCTACATTCCACTAGCACTAATTTGGTTCAACTGAACTCTCCTGCAAGCATTCTTACATTACTAGAAACATGCCACAGCTGGGAGAGGCAACTAAGATGCAGTATGTAGTATCACAGATGATGCATCACCTTGGCCCAGCAGATTCTTCTCCTCCCTCTTATGCCTCAAAACTTGTTTCAGTGATCAATCCAAATCAAACCTTAGACATTCTACCAAAGATTGATGTTCCCTTCACATGTGATGCATTTACTCTTGCCACAAATTCCAGCTCCAGACAGATTGACACTGGTTATAGCTCTCAAGCTGATTTCACTGAGGATCACATATTCACCACCTGATCTACTGTAATAACTTCATTTTTACTGGCCTGGATGTCCTCTGGATATATAACAAATTGAAGCCTCCCACTTCTTCTCTTCAAACAGCTTCCTAAGGGCATCCAAGCTAATTTTCAAACACAATGAGGATCATCTGGGTAAAGCCCAATCCCAATCTAAAGTAGATCATACTGTAATTCTGTTGAAACTCATTCACCATAATTGCTGGACCAGTTTTGCAGTGAGGGACAAAGGAGGTCCTCCCTGATTTCTTGCAACATTGCTGATTGGAAGGCTAAAAAGAACTATCCTGATATTTCTAGGACTTAATGTGTAAATCTGATTTTGTTTTATTATAGAAGACTTAATCTGTAGACTCCTGATAGTACAAGATTACTTAGCATACTCCATTAATGCAATTTCTAGTGTCACAAGAGGATGTGTCTGAGAAGGTGTTTCTACACTGATAACAAAGAATTTCTTGTGCCTAATTATATGATTAGAGTCATGTAACCACTTCTGAAACACTTTCCCTTGAAAACTATAGGGACTCATCCAGGCAGTCACCGCAGAATCGGTAACGATTGAGTGTGGATAAAAAAAAAAAGCACATGGCATTAGCTTCTAAGCCAAATATTCTAATTATAAATGTCTACCTTCCCACTAGTATATTGTTTTCTTTAACAAATACTGGATGGGATAAACTGGAGAACTATCTTAACTCTCTTGGGAGCATCCAGATGCTGGCCTTATGCTGGCAGGTGACCTTAACATCAGACTTGGCAGAAACAATTAGGTTCTGTCCTCTTATTTTAATAGCCGTATTTCTCTCCACAAAGGCTACCTTGGAGTTCAACTGTACCACTGGATCAGGGTATCAGCAAAGCAGCCTCATGTTTATTATGCACTGCCAGAAGATATAGACTTTGTATAGTAAATGGTGTAGCAGAGGGTAACCTTAATAGTCAACTCACCTATTGGGAGCCTAGGGGTCCAGTGCAATCAATTGTATCTTAACTTTGTATGGTAATTTCATTTAAAGTTAACCTGTGGTGAGATAGTGACCACTCACCACTATTACTTCACCTGGGACTTGGCCATTACTCAGTGGACTGTTCCACCTAAGTTAGGAATAAATATATAGGCTTTGTCATGGTTAAGTTTAGTTTACTTCTAGGAATGGTCCAAAAAGGCCACAAGAATGATGCAGTGATTTCTTGCTTTAGACCAGTCCCTTGAACTATGTGAGTTCCTAATTCTCAAATTATCCAGAGGCTTTAGCTTCATTTAATGCTTTTTAATATAACCTTCTAAGATCACTATCAATTTATCAGCATTGTATGAGCAAGTCATCTCATCCTAGGAAGAAGCCTGAGTTGGACTTAGATTGCATGCAAGCCAAGGTTGATTTAGTGACAGTTTTCAAATGTTGCAAATCCAGCAACTCTTCCATCATTAAGAATAAATTATTAGATCTCAAAAGAAGCTGTAAAAATCTAATGAAAAGAAAGAATATATATATAACATTTTCGTATGCTGGCTGTGCCATTTTGTTTTTACGTCTGTATGTTACATCTCACTGGTTACTGACGACAATAAAAGTAGTCATAAACTCATAATTAACTTCATTTTAATAATGATCTGTCATTTTAAAATTATATTTGGTATTCATAGAACTAAATGCTGTTCTGAGAATTTTTACTTATTTTACCTAAATCTATGATGCTTGTAAACTTATTTACTTTGTGCTTTTCTTATTTTTTTCTTCATGCTTTTTGATTCTATTTTTTATGTTAATTAAAAAAAATTAAAAATTGTATACAAACATATTTACTTAGTAGTTTAGTATTTTAGCATCTTATTTACAAAATAGTTTTATAATTTAGTCAGTCAATTTTGAGTACAGATAGTCCTCAGGTTAAGAACGCCCGGGTTACAGACGACCCATAGTTAAGAATGGAGCCTATTATAGCAAAATTTGAGTTAAATACACAATGATTCCAGAGAATGGAGCCTATTATAGCAAAATTTGAGTTAAATACACAATGATTCCAGAGAATGGAGCCTATTATAGCAAAATTTGAGTTAAATACACAATGATTCCAGAGAATGGAGCCTATTATAGCAAAATTTGAGTTAAATACACAATGATTCCAGTTAAATACACAATGGTTTGAGTTAATTATACAATACTACTTATACAATAATACTA